ATCTTTACGAATCTCCTATTTTCCTGCAGGACAATGCACCTTGACACAAGGCTCAGAAGGTTTTGGCTTTATTTGAAGAAGAAGGAATCGCCCTAATGAAGTGGCCAGCCCAGAGCCCCGGCCTGAATCCAATAGAAAATGTTTGGAAGATAATTGGAGAAAGGGCTCAGAAAAGAAACCCGAAAAACCAGGATCACCTATGGGAGTTATTGAAAGACGAATTGGAGAGAATTACTGCTGATTTTTGCAAGAAATTAATTAGATCATGTGGTCGACGACGCAGAGAAGTCATTGAAAATAAGGGGATGTTTACCAAATATTAAATTTTGTTGATATTTTGTTCACAATCAAGTATTAACAAGATCGTTCCTTAACTTTTGTCCAGTAGCTTATTTCCTTTGTTTCCATGTAAATTTTTGTAACTTTGTATAATATTTATGCATTACACCCTAATCTTTATTCGGTAAAAATTTAATTGCTAATCATGCATTACTTTTTAAGTAATACACATATTTATGTCTTTGTTGTTTCCGTATATTATATTATGGGCGCTACTGTATATATACCCAACTATTTTAGTTTACTTTAATTTTAGTAGAGTTTTTAACAACTATTCTATTATGGATTCGTAATCTATAATTTTGTTTACAAAAATTATTTTTATAGGTGAAATAGCATTTATTGGTGATGAGTCGGCAGATTTGAATGATTTTAAGTGAGTCGTTTATTTTTTATTGTGTTAGACGCATTATTTTTTTTTTTAGATTTAAGCATTTGTTAACCGGAACGTTGAAAAGAGATTTCACATCTAAACTAGCCATTAGGTTACCCTTCATATTTATTCTCCTTAGTTTTTGTGTTCGTCTTGTCTAGTTTTCACACGTCCGTACGTTGAGAGGGCCTCTCTCGACTGAGAAAAACACTGGTGTTATATAGCTCTCCCAGTCGCAGATCAACGCTAACTATTGGCTAATACCTGCCCAGTATCATTCATATGCAAATAGTCAGTGCCACTTACTCTAAGTAGAAGGTCTACTCTGAACAACCCATTGTGGAAGGGGACGCAACTCCTGGTGCTTATAGCCCCAACAAACTCGGAGTCTTTTATCAGGCTGACCCGATTCCCTGTTACAATTTTTTTTTTTTTAACCAGGTTGCCTGAATTTTTAACATGTTATGGGCTGATTGTTCTGAGGCTAGGTGTCCAAATTTTGATATAGCTTTAGTCAATTTGTGAGGAGCGCTATCAATACCTACATTCGAATGTCTGCTTTTTGGGGTTTTGATAAACCATAAATTTAATGTTATCTAGGGTGATATTCTATTAGTTCATACCATGATTTGTTTTTATTACTAATTTTATTTTCTCATCGCTCTATTAAATTTCTATGTTTCTGTAATTATTTAGTGTTCACCTATTTTCTCAAATATATATATATTTTTTTTACAGTATATCAACCTCAATGGGTTATTTAATCCCGACAAAATTTTTATTGCTGGCAATATATTTGGTAATATCTTTTTTTTTCTGAAAATGTATTGCTGGTAATTTTTTTACAAAGTATTTCTGGTATGTATTAAAACCTATTGTTACACTTTCATAGTGCTTTCACCCCAGTTTAGGGGTTAACTATTTGCCCGTAGCTGGGACCCTAACACGTGCTACCACCCGGAATCAGGGTGGACTTGGGAATATCAGCAGTTAAGAGGTGGTTCCACGTTCCTCAGAACTTCCTGATCAGAGGCCTTGCTGTTGGATGTAGTTTATTGTCTTACCCAGGACGTCTGAAATATGTAGCTATCGTCGAGTAGTAAATTAATTTTATCATTGTATCCCTATTCGTAATAACAATCTCACCTCCTTTTTCCGAACAAAGTGATGTGAATTTCTTTATTTTTTGCTCGATTTCTTAGTGCATTTAAGTGTCTCTGTGGTAGAGTTCCTTCACTGTTAGTTTATAGATTGGCAATAATTATTCCTAGAATGAAGCCTTTGTTGAATTCGTTGCGTCTACGATTTCAAAATATTGTTTCAACTAGGTCCTCTTTATGAATCGCGGTAGCAAATTTTAAGGCAAAGTTGAGGGCTTTTAGTTCGGTATTGGACAGATTTATATCTGATAGATTTTTTTATTATTTTTAGTCGTGCTCAGTAAATTTGCCCTTGACCATTCACATAAAATTTGCATCAAGGTTCATTACAACATTTCACCTTTCCTGGCAGAATTTCTATTATCACAATGTGGGAAACGAAACTCATAAAAATATAAGCAAAAAGAAATTAAATGAAACTCTCTAGACTATATAGCTAAGCACACACACACACACACACACACACACACATATATATATATATATATATATATATGGAGAGAGAGAGAGAGAGAGAGAGAGAGAGAGAGAGAGATTTAAAAATTTAAAAATTTCAGCCTCCGCTTCGTGCGCATATGTAATTACAGCCACATAAGCTTCAGTTTAGATCGACTGAAGTCTTAAGGGA